TCGATAGTTCAAGCAACAAAAAAAATAATAAATGTCACCCGTGGGAGTGGTTGGGACGATAATGCGGGATTTTGACACATTGGCAAATCGTCATCTGGGTCAGAAAGCAAAGTCTCGCTTCACAAATGTTGGTCAAGGAAATTTGCCGTCGCAAAAAGTACGAGAGGTATCCGTTCTGGGAGAGCAACTATGCCTCCCGGTATCGAGCCGGGTAAAAAACAGCGGCGCCGGCCGCAAAAGGAAAGCGCTGAATGGTCGCCGGCCGATCAGCAGGTGGCGTTTGCTTCTCCGCCTGATCGACATCCCTCCCGCCTGTGTGCTTTTCAGATGGAGGCTGTCGTCCCTTCGGCGTCCCCCCCTCCGTGGCTTCCGACGGTATCGACGGCCTTCGAGGCTCTGCGCTACTCGACGGAGATGTCCCGGCGCTTGAAGGTCTTCTGCAACTTCTCCAAACGCCTCGTGCGCCATTTGCGCAGGGCGGCGAACTGTCCCACCAAAAGAAGATGAACAGCATCTGGGAAGTCGCACTTGGCCACCAGTTTGTCTCCCTTAGCACCTCACACTTTTTCAGTCGGTCGCCGAGGAGTTTGTGACGGAGAGGAATGGACAACGGAATGGTCGCCGGTCCATCGGCCGGCTCCACGCGCCCTGGTGTTGACTGATGAGCGATCACGCTTCCACTCAGAGCCAAGAACGTTCGCTTTTCGATGAATACGGGACTGGACAAGAGATTGGTCGCCGGTCGAAATCATGTCAAATATGCACGACCGCCCTTGGCACGTGTCGAAAGCAGGCGCGAGGAAAGAACCGACGGACTTCTCCTTGTCGTCCTGCTCCTCGCCAGCAGGGGGTCACGTGACAGGAAGTGGCAAAAGAGCCGCTTGCCACGAAGGCGCCCCCCCCCCCCCGCCGGCGCCTCCCCCCCGGACTCCGTCGTGCCCGCTACCCGTATGCGACATGCTCGATGTTGACAGTTTCTTTTTTTATTGCCGTCGTCGTCGTTTTTCCTCAGCGTATTTATGTCGGCAAAGAAGACGAGGTGCCGGCATCTCGTCTTTCCGTCCGATGGCATATTTAACACGTTCCTTTTTTCTCCACGTTATTTATGTTTTGAGCAATAAAGTTGACATTTTCTGTTTGCCAACATTTGTTGACGTAGTACCAGAAATGACCAATTGGCGGCGACTGCAGCTCTCCTTGCCCAAGTGCCAGGGGGCATTGCATGACTTTCACGTTTCCTTGACTGTGACATCACAGCAGGGCCGACTTACATCGCGAGCAGCCGCAAGACGACATGGATGCCTGTTGCAAAAGCCGAAAGGGAAACTTCGATCTGCAGTTCACGGCTGCGGGCCGGTTGCCTTCTTGTGTTTGTCCTGTGTCGTACCGCCGCCGTTCTGGACAAGCGGATGAGCCGGCGTTCATGGCAGATTGTCAGTCAAGCGCGCACGCACACACACTGACGCACGCAGCAGAGAGCGAAGGGGACGCAAAGCGCCTTTATTTGCCATTCCCGCTGCGTTGTTTGGCCGGTCACGTCTGGCGTCGGGTCAGGCCGCTTGTTGGTCGGCCATCGAGCAAACTTCTGCGAGGAGATTCAATGCGTAATAGTCATCGGACGACCCGACCGGACGGGATGGCTGCGTTTGATCAGCGGGCTCTTTTGCGCGCGCCGATCTCGCTTCGCCCTCCTTCCGCTGGCGCTGGCAATGATGATGACGCATCTTTGCTGCTTGGCGCCTTGGGTTCGCAAAAACGGGTCGGCACGCGTTGGTCGCTTGTGGCGAACGACGACAAATGACGATATTCCCCCAAATTGCAAAGGAGCGAGCCACTCGAGGGCAACACGCAAAAAGAGCTCAATGACGTCACGCGGGCTCCCAGCAATTGCGGTGCGTTTCTCACTCGTCGTCTTACCTGCGGCGGCGTCGTCGTAGATGAATGGTGGCTTGGAGACGAAGGACAGACACTCCACCATTTTCAGCAGCTTTTCCTGTTCAGATTTCAGCTGCTCCATGTCCACCTCATGCCCGGCCCTGGCTACACACACACACACACACACACACACACACACACACACACACACACACACACACACACACACACACACATCCATGAAACATGTGCGTGAGACACTATTGTACACACACACACACACACACACACACACACGTTTCATGGATGTATGTATGAGCACGCGCGTGTGTGCGTGTGTGTGTGTGTGTGTGTGCGTGTGCGTGCGCGCGCTGACTGTAGCTGAGTAGGAAGCGGCCCAATTCGCCAGCTTGGACAAACATCAACATGGCGTCGGGCGATCTCTCGTAGAAATGCAGCGTGAAGGAGATGTTGAAGGCCAGCAGCGAACCGTTGCTCACCACCCCTGACGCACGCAAACACGAAGGATGCGGATGGATGCGACGGGTCTCGAGGGACTGACGTCTCGAGCGTGGGCGTGTGCTTGTGACTCACGGTCGACGACGGCCTGCATGACGAGGGGGCCCTCGCTTGTGGGGTCCGCCGGTGCGGTCAAGTTCAACGAGTAGCTCACACACGTATTGTCACTGAAACAAACAAACAAAGAAGACAAGTCACGCACACGGCCGCGCGCACGCAGACACACTCACACACACACACACCGGTACTTGTTCCTCTCCAAGAGGTGGATGAGGAGGTCACTTTTGGGGTGGAGACTGACGGCGGAATTGGCGAGATCGGAAATCGTCATCCACTCGGCGGCTCCCCAAAGCAGACGCCACTCCCCGAATACCTGCGGGAGGCCACACCCCCACCCTCAGCAGCCAATCGCCTTCAACTTGTTGACGCCACCGCGCAAGGCCGGTCCCCATTGCCCCCCCTCCCCACCCAGAATTTTAGTTGCTATTCTCTACATATAGTCCCTGGCCTGGATAGTGTCTCCACCGAAATACCATGGCAGTGATTGTGGATTTGCGATTTTTCTTCAGCGGTGCCATGAGACTTGTGTTGAAATTGTCGACCGAACGCTCACGCGGAGTGCGCGCACGCGCGTGCGGTTTGATGTCGAGTTCGCAAATAGCGCCATGCGGAGAATCAAATCCGATCGCCAGAGACCACTGACCTGATTGAGGTCCTTGGTGGGGAGGGGCTTGTAAAGGTCGTCACAGGCGTGCGACTGCTGCAGTGCGCCTGACAACATCATCATCATCATCATCATCGTCATCGTCAACATCTTCATCTTTGCCGTGGTTCTCAGCTCCGACAACATCATGTCAAGTGGCGCACCGAGGCCTCGCGTTCGAGGCCTTTTAAAGGCAGATGTGCCACCTCTTGCCCCACCCATTACAGAAGGCGAGTCTATGTGTGTGTGTGTGTGCGTGTGCGTGTGCGTGTGCGTGTGTGTGTGTGTGTGAGTGAGAGAGAGAGAGAGAGAGAGAGAGCTAGCGTACTGAGTGTCGTCGACCTGGTTTGTTTGTTGATCAAGTGGACCTACAGTCCAAAGTCTGATTTGATTGATTGCAGGCGGTGCTGTTGTAATGGGAATTTGACATCAAACAACGCTAAATGGAAGTACAGTAACTGTTCGTACTATTGAATGCTGACCAGTTATTTTGCGGATAAGCAAAGTTGCACTAGTCTGTGTGTAGCTGCTCAAAATGCTGATTGAGCTGACCTTCACCACCTCCCAACAAGATAAAATGAGAGCGCAAGAAGCAGAGGGAGAGAAGGCTCCCTTGACAGATCTGTGAACGGTGTCCCATGTTTTTTTCTTCTCTTTTTCTTTCTTAAACAAATCTCATCATTTTTTATTAATATTTTCATTGTCTTGGTTTCCCTGGACAAGACACTGTCACGCTAATGATGAGCGTGGCTAGCTGCGCCACAAAAAAAAAAAAAAAACACACAGACTCATGTTGCTCTTTGGTTTCTTTAATCAGCACGTCAGTTGAGCATGACCACTTTGTGGCCGTCACAGAAGTCTGCGAGAGACAAAAGAGAAAAGATGACTGACAGGTACTGCACGATTGGCGGGACTCGCGAGAGAGGCGCCAGTGCGGCCCCGAACCTTTTTTGGGGTCGATAATGAAGTTGGGTTCCCCGGAGAAGCCCAAGCAGTGGGCCTGCTTCTTGAAGTGTTCCAGGTCGGAGTCCTTGACCGTGTTCCCTGGAGCTGCGGAAGAAAAAGCGGCTCTTTTGGGCGCCATAGCGTATGGACACCACAAGATGGCGGCAGAGCACCTCAAATGCGTTCGTCATCGGGAGCTAACTGCCTTCACATCAGGAGTAACAGTCGTACTTGCTAGCGCTTAGCCCAAAGAACGGTCCCGAGCAATAGCGTGACATCACATGCTGGCGGACACATATGCGCACAAAGCCAATAAGGTAGGCATGGGCTTGATGGTTCCCCCTCACCGAAAAGGTAGAGGGAGCGGGCGCTGATCTGGTCGTTGACGACTTCGTCGAGGTGGATGCCGAAAACATCTAGGAAGGTCTTAAGGTGACAAGCTGTGGTGTTGATGCTCAACACCTGGCAGCCGTCGCACGTGGGCAGCAAGTGGTAGGTGGACGTGATGTTTTGCACTAAGGATGACAAAACGCCGACGTCATCGTCCACGGGCGACACAAACGCCAAAGGCGGCGGCGTCAGACGACAAAGACGGCTCACTTTTGGCGGACGCCACATTGCCGTCGATGGAGATGTTCATCTTGGTGCCGAAGCAGGTCCCGTTCCTGGAAAGCAGAGACGGCTGGCGTTGACGCTTACAGAAAGTGGGGTCAGAGAGTTGCAAAAAAAAAAACAACGAAAAAAGGGATGGAAGAGTGGTGAAATGTTAAGAAAGGAGTTTTGTCAAAAGTGGTGAGGGTCGAAGAAGAGCTGGAAACCGGTCCTAAAAGTAGGGTGAAGAAGAGAATCTTTTAATGGGTCGCAGGCCGGAGCGTGGGGGACTCACATCATCATCTCCTCGTAGAGGAACAAGTCTTTGTCGTTGTGGGCGGCGGCATTGATGGTGACCCGGGTGTTGCCGCTGATTTTCAGGATGGCGTCGAAGACCTTGTTGTCCGTGTAGCCCGAGATAAACGTCCGCTGGCCCAACAGCTGCCCACAGCAAAGCGCCACACGCACGCTAAGCCACAAGGTCTCGGCCGAGCCAATGGCGAGGCTCCGCTTGGTTCTGCTTTGGTCTTGGGAGGAATATTTGGTCTAAGCGAGCGCATGACGGGGCTCACCTGCTGGCGGTCGTCAAGCGGCAACGGGGCGAGCAGCGGTGTGCATTCCTCGGGCATCGGCATGGCGCCGACGCCCGAGCACAGCAGCGCGAACAGGAAGTGGAGGCACCAGGCTTTCATGACGATTGAAGACGAGGCGAGGCCGGCGAAGAGCGACGACCGCACCGTTTTTATACCGCAACATTGCCGTTTGTGGCCACGCGTTCTTTGTTTAGCCAAGGTCACCTGCCGGCCGCTGGCTCTGCTGGCCGCGTCAATCATTTACTCCGTCATTGACACGTTTTCGTCGCGCTTGCACTCAACGCCTCCGGATCGCTGTTCACATTTCAAAGGCCAAAATGTTCAATAGGCCCCCACGAGTCTGAACGCGGCATTCTCGTGAATATTGCCCCTGGGCAATGTCAACGGAGCAGGAAAAAAAAAACGCAGCGCTTTTGATGCATCTGCTGGGGCGGCCATTTTGCCACTCGCCGTCCACCGACCACGACGCGATGGTGCCGCGCCGGGCTCAGCTCGCCGATGTCATGTTCAGCGGACAATGAGTGGCAAAATGGTCCCCCCCCCCCCACCTTGTGCTTGTGACACTTACATTTGTTCACATGAAGCGACATTTGTAACATGAATATTTTTGGACATTGAATAAAATTGACAAACATTTCGTAACGTTGAGTAATGTGTGTGTGTGAGTGTGTGTGTGTGTGTGTGTGCGTGTGTAGTAACCTTTTTCCGACAACGGAGACCTTTTGTTCATTTGATAACTCGGACTTGTACTGTGTGAATCAATGAGGGCTTCAACTCAAAACCCCCTAACCCGTCCCCGGACACGTGGCTTGTCTGGAGGACTTTCAACTCGGGGGCCAACGAGCGAGAGCATCATCAGCCTAGGAAGTGTTCATCCAAAATGAGGCAAAAGTTTGACAAAGCTTAAATACTGTCAAGGAAAACAATGGGACTTCAATCTTGATTCCATTGATATCCTTTACACGAGGTCAATACAAAGTGAAATGACCCGATTCAAAGCAAACAGCTCTGATGGGCAATGTGGAGAGGTATTGCATCCCCACCCCACCCCACCACCCCCCAAAAAAAGGTGTACTCGACTGGATAGGAATTGGGCATTTAGCCAATAGAACCGATTTAGCTGACCTCAAACTGAAAAAGTACAGTCTGACGAAACTTGTCAGACAGTCAGGAAAAAAAAAAGGAGAAGCCAGTGTGTGTTTTAATGCCCGCGTGCCTTTCAACCGGATCTGCCGCGACAAAGAATACAAGACAAAAACACAGAACAGCATTTAGGAGGGATTGAGAGGCATTCAAATCTCATCGATTTCCAGATTTCACTCGGGACAGTGGCGCCAAAAAAAAAAACAACAAAAAAAAAAAACATGCAGCATGTCATGCGGCGGCGGAGTCCTGCCGACCAATCAGAAGCCTTTGTCGGTCGAGCAAACAGAAACACCGACAAAACTGGAATGAGTCAGATCAAACACCAAAGGTGACGTGCGTGCTGTGCGTAAAGCGGCGTGATTGGCCCCGGGTTCATAGGTGGCCGGAGAGCCCAAGGGCAGAAGGTCATGCTTTTCAAAAGCCCCTTTTTCTTCAAACTCGCTCCCGAGCCCCGTTTGGAAATTGACGACAAACGCCGACAACCATCTCCCACTCAACGGTGCAGGTTTGGACTGTTGTCCACCATTTCGCTTGTCCGGAGTTTTTCGGTCCAGAGGTCAGAGGTCAGGGAGTCGTGGCGAGCAGGCCAGTCGACGCTAGGCGCAGGCGACAGCCAGCTCTCTTTCGCCGCCTCCTCTCACGCCGCCTGTCAGGAGATAATGCGGTAGTCGAAGGCGTCCTTGTCGGTGTAGTCGGTCCAGTTGGAGGCCGGCATGCTGCGATACGGGTCCAGAAGGATCCGGAAGCAGCGCACCATCAGCACAGCCAGGAACAACAAGAGCCCGAGGACCAAGACCAAGGCGGCGCCCTGCTCCAGGCTGAGGAGGGGTGAAGACCAGGGCTCCGGATATGAGGATGGCACGGCACCGCTGTAGACCTGCTCCGTCATGCTGGAAACAAAAGTTGACGTGAGCGCACCAACACCAAGACCAACACGCGTCAGACTCGCCGATCCAAAAATAAGAGAACTTCAAGCGGCGGGGCTAAAATTAGCCCGACAGCTCGTCAAACGCTCGCCGCCACTCTGCAACTTAACACGTTGCGTGCCGAGCGTCGCGTGACACCTGACCGGGGGCGGGGCGACCATCGGGAATTCAAGGGAAAATATTTTCCCAAACGGCCGGTGTATTTCTGGGCCGGTCCTGGCCATCACGGCCGCCGGCACCCATCCGCACCCCCACATGTCATGTGACATCACATGAGCCATAAAATGCCTCGCATTACCAGTCACATAATGTCACAGGGGCCGTTCCGTGCCAAAAACCTGCCAGTGAGGTGAACCAAGCAGATTTGCATTTGAATGCAACTTGGTGTACTTGTTGATAATGATGGCACAGCAGCACTGAATCTCTCATTTGAGGTCAATCGACACAGGGCTTTGGGAGCGATGGGCCGCCAAATTGTGATATTTTTGGCAAAAAAAAAAAAAAAAAAGGCCTCATTTAGTCTGACCTTATTTTATTTTCTTTCATTTTTGTTTTCTCCCTTTATGCAAGAATTACCGTTGGATTGTTGTTGTTTTGTTTTTAGTTAGCATGCTATAATAGCATTTGCTGGCCTTACTTGACCGTCTGTCATTTTCAGTGTTCAATAAAGTTTAAAACAAAAAAAAACCCCAGATAGACGCGCAGTTATGCGCATGCGCGTTGAGGACGAGGCGGTCTGCGGCGTGACGCCATCGCGAGTCAATCAGTCGGTCAGCGTCGTCGCGACGACGACCACAGCGGCGGCGATGGCGGGGACCGCGCTCAAGAGACTCATGGCCGAATACAAACGTGAGCACAATCGCACGGACATCTTCCACAGCTACCGCAACATCTACAACAACACTTTTTGTTCCTTGACGGCTGGCGCGTCTTCGTGCGTCGCTTCCAGAAGGTTCCGCGGTGGCGGACAACGAAGTTGAGCGCTGACATGTTGGAGCTTTTTTGTGTTTGTGTCAACTTGAGTGTTGAGCTTCGTGAGGGCCAGACGATCGATCAGCACCGCCGCCACAATTTTGTTGTTGTTCGGAGCGAAATGCTGACGCGTCTTCCGTTCCGACCTGCGACTCCCCTGGTCGCTGCTGTTGTCGTTGAACACGAGGCGGCCCCGCATAGCATCTTAGCATGTTAGCTTGACAGCCGAGTACACACCGGAAGTAACGTGTGTGTGTGTGTGTGTGTGTGTGTGTGTGTGTGTGTGTGTGTGTGTTTGCTTCCAGAGCTGACACTCAACCCGCCGGAGGGAATCGTCGCAGGTACGTCCTTCATCCTGCTGTGTCTGGAAAAGCTTTTGCCTTCGCCACAATCTGTGAGGGATGGACGCTCCACCCAAAAGTCTTTGGCTACTGTACTCGCCGCCACGAGATGGAAGCGAGGCACTACATGAAGCTCCATCACTCACTTCGGTGTAGCTTTGTGGTGCCTAAGCTGCCTTGTTATTTGTTATTCTCAGTTACCTGCAGAAAACCTGTCCAATTGGATGTTTTAGTACTCAGGCTAAAGAAGGGGTGCAACGATTGAAAACTAATCTAATGACCCAACAATAATTTTGAGAACGGTTTCGAGGCCTTGTCGAGTGTCCATGTGTCCACATGTTTGGGATTTCCGCCAAAGACATTTGCAAGCCCCAGCAAATGAGGAGCTGAATGCAATTTCAATTTCAAATCGTGTCCTGATGGAAGTGAAAAACGTGCTTTTATTTGAATCGCATTCATCGAGCAACAAAAAAAAGGGGGAAAAAAAACCCAAAAAGATTAGTAGGAGATCCGTCAATGATTCAACTCATCGTTGGTTGCAGACCTGGGCCAAAGCTTGGAAAGGTTTTGCCTTTGTGATTGTCTGCCAAGAAAAGATATCGCTGCGAATGCGGTAGTTTGATGGACGCAAAGCAAATGCTTTGCCGGCATTCAACCTCCTTAGGAGGGTCTCGGTGAGTCGTGGCCGCGGTAGCTGGGGACGGGTGTGTGTCTTGGCCTTGCTGACAGGACCTTTGCATGTGTCTTGCCCTCTTTTTTTTTTTTTTTGCAGGTCCCGCCAATGAGGAGAACTTTTTTGAGTGGGAGGCGCTAATCATGTGAGTTGTGCTCCGCAAGCTTGACATTTCCCTTGGATGACGTACAGCGAGGCCTTGAAAGACGAGCCACACGATTGGAGAGTTTTTGCACCTCCGAACCGCCATTGGGACCATTTTTTATTTTATTTTTTTACTTGCGGGCCCCACACTTGAGTGGTGGCACGTGCTCTCAACATCTCCTCCTAAACCACTGGAGGGCCACTCCTAGCTGCGGTTGACTCGAACACATGACATCTGAGCTTGTATTTTTCAAACACGCAAACCACGTTGCCCGAAGAATATCCCGCGAGTGCCATATTGGCAAATCATGGAAAAGCCCATTCCTATGCTGCCGTTCGCATTGGTAATCATCACCCCGTAAACAACACATTAGGGCCGATCATCTCTTTCCTTGACCAAAAGTAGCGACGATGACAGCGACTGACGAAGTAGTCGTCCAAGTTGCTCGTTTGTCTGCGCTGCGTCATACCGTACTGCCTCCCGTGGCCAAGGCAGGCACAGCCCATTGAACTGGACTGCAGCAAGTCCACTGAAGTTCTTGATGTTTGACTGAAGTACCGCACGATCCCAATGTCAAAGCACGGCTGTCGCGATTCTCGTCAAGGGGCCAAGTCTGTCGTTTTTGTGCCTTTCAGGGGACCGCAGGACACGTGCTTCGAGGGCGGCGTCTTTCCGGCCGTGCTCACCTTCCCCTCCGACTACCCGCTCAGCCCCCCTAAGATGAGGTTCACCTGTGACATGTTTCACCCCAACAGTAGGTGCTCCGCTCGCAACATTTGGCAACAATTTACGCTGCGCTGGCAGACAAACGCCAAAAGGCTTCCTTCCAAAGAAAAGAAATATGGCCGAAATATTTGAAGAGTTCCCCCAAAAGTCACTGAGAAACGTTCCGCTGAAAAATGAGAGGGATGTGAAGGGGATGACAAAAAGAAAAAAAATGCCAGACCACAATGATGCTTGCCTCGACTGCACCCCGTTCATGTGTCAGGTGCCTAAACTTGGCTTTCTCCGAGACCGATTCTCCTCATCTTTGACTCAAAAGTGATGCAACAGCCCCATTTAAAGGGATCTGTTTGTCATCGCGGGGATTTTCAAAGCTGAATTTCACTGCCAAACTGGGCGCCACCCTCATCTCTGCCTACCCGAAGAAGAACGTACTTGACCTAATACTGACACCGTCAAAGTACGGCGGTCGAGAAGAAGGTTCAAATCCTCATTTGGACCCCTTTTTTTCCCGCACGTGGACAAGTGAGGTGTGATGTCAGTTAAGTTGGGTGTGTTTGCTTCACCCCCAGTCTACCCCGACGGCCGCGTGTGTATCTCGATCTTGCACGCACCCGGCGATGACCCCATGGGCTACGAGAGCAGCGCCGAGCGGTGGAGTCCCGTCCAGAGCGTGGAGAAGATCCTGCTGTCGGTGGTTAGCATGCTCGCAGGTAGCCGCTCCTCACCATTTGCATGGCACACCATTAATCATGAAAAGGCACTTGGAAAAACAACTGTGTGTGTGTGTGTGTGTGTGTGTGTGTGTGGGTGGGTGGGTGTGGGTGTGTGGGTGGTCCAGTGGTTAGCACTTCAACCTCACAGTGGAGAGGTAGCAGGTTCAATTCAGCTCCGGCCTCCCTGTGTGGTGTGGAGGTTGCATGTTCTCCACCGGCCTGTGTGGGTTTCCTCCGGGTACTCCGGTTTCCTCCCACATTACAAAAACATGCATGGCATGCTGTTTGATACTCAAAATTGTCCCAAGGTGTGAGTGTGGGTGCGGATGGTTGTTGGTCTCTGTGTGCCCTGTGATTGGCTGGCAACCGTTTCAGGGTGTCCCCCGCCTACTGCCCGAAGACGGATAGTTTCCGCACTGGACACAAAAAACACGTCACCATGGAAACTGATCACAGTCATTCCCCTCTTGTGTGTGTCTCTCTCTGTCTCTTTCTCTCTCACACAGAGCCAAATGACGAAAGCGGCGCCAACGTGGACGCCTCGAAAATGTGGCGGGAGGACCGGGATCACTTTTACAAACTGGCTCAGAAGATCGTACGCAAGTCCCTGGGCCTTTAGTGTGATCTCAACACCCACTGCCGTGTGTGTGTGCATGTGTATACATGCACTCACACACGCAGCAGCATGGACTGCTTTGCTTCGGTCCATGACAGCAACGTGACGGTTGATTGCACCGCCACCCTTAGAAGAGTTGACCCCAAGGCCCACCATCAGGAAGTGATGTCACATCATGAGCCCTCCACTCCTGGCTGCTCATTGGCCATGTAAGAGAATCACATGAGATTGCAGAAGACTGAAAGGGAAGTTGCCAGCTGATGACACGCTCACATTGGGAGGTATTTCTTTTCTACGGAAATCCGTTTGTGCTTTTATTCCGTGTGCTTCATATCCTGCTTCAGGTCCTGACTCGTAAGACAATTTAGCACACTCGTGGCGGGTAGTTGGAATGTTCTTTCCTTTGCTACTTCTGGCGTCCTTGTACAAGTTGAAGTTGGCTATGGAAGAACGGCATTCAGGGCGGCCATAATTTACAGTGTGTGGATTTGAATCATTATTTCCTCCAAAAACAATCTTGAGTGCAACTTGACTTCATCGCCGACTCCCATCGCGGTGTCATTTGACTGTTTGACAAGTATGTTGTACAATAAACAAAGAAACAATCTAAATGTTGTTCAGAAGATTGTGGTTGGTGTGTGTTGCAGAAATTGGATTGAGGTTCTTTGGGCAATATTGCGAAAAAAATCACTGATTACGACAGAGGATTACCAACACCACTCCTATACACAATGTGAGTTTAATTGATGAATTAATAGTTTCGGGCATTTTAAAATCAAAATGTGAAATTTGCAGCCACAGCTGGTAGAATGAACTTGTAATGAGATTTTTTTCGTGCGGGGTGTATGCTAAATGTTTTGATTCGATGGTGGGAGATCGCTGCCTTTGATTAATAATACTATTAATTAAAAGATGTATTTTTTCCCCCCTAATACAAATGTTGGAACTAATTTATTTGGTCC